TAGGTGGTCGTCATACCTTACTCGATGTTTGTTGACATGGCGCGCCGACCGACAGCCGGGTTTCACAACATTTCATAGTAAAGTGCAGAATTGCAAGAGTACATAATCCAACTGCGGACTCTTGTCGTACTACCTTGTGACGACAGCAGTCTGATACGTTAACATTTCGAGCTACGAAGTTTGAGCGCTGTCGTCGTTTCGGGCACAAGCTGCGTCGACTCGATCAAGGACATCTCGACGGTGTTGGTCGACCAGCCGACACGGACCAAGCAGGTGTTGTTGGTGTCAACCTCAAGGTCAATTCGTCGTTGCAGATCGAGCAGCTCGTTGGTTGAGAGCTCCTTGCTTGGCACACGGGCATCCGCGATGACAAGTCGATCGCCACACAACGCCAGCGACGCGATACGGTCGATGCGACGTCCGTGGTCGCGGTCGATCCATGAAAGCTGCGGCATCTCGGTCACGTCTGATGCTGTCATCTGCAGTGGCTTGGCGAGGAGCACTGCGTCGAGTGGGATCCCAAAGACATTTTGAATTTCGAGCAAAAGCAGGTCCATCCAGTGCGAGCCAGGCGACAGCGTCGGAAACACTAGCTCCATCTCGCGGCCAAATGTGAGATGCGCTCGGTCAAAGAGCACGGCCGAGAAAAGCGTGTGGGCGGCGCCAAGCGTCTCGGGCGACTCTAGTATCTGGACGGCAAACGACCGGTTCTCGTACAGTGATATCGGTGAGGCGTCACCAAGTGTGCCATCGTCGGACAAGACGTGCTGGAGGCGGCGGGAAGAAACGTCGCGGAGCCGAAGGTGCTCGGCGCTAGGGTGTGTGCGCTGAAGCACGGTGAGGATGCTGGTCTTCATCTCGCTCACAAGCATCGTAGCTGAGACGACGAGTGTAGCGCAGAATACAAGCTCGTCGACGCGGTTCAACGGCAGCAGCACGACCGACGACGTCGTCGTCTCGATGCGGTTGAGCGTGTGGAGCTGGATGTTGACTCTAAACTCACCAGCACGCAGCGGAGCCCCGAGCTCGACCCACACCGTCGATTGGTTCAAGAGGCTCAAGTTCTTGAACGCCATATCGAGGTGCTTCAGCTCGCCTCCATTCTCCTTTGCGCGACGCAGCTTGAAGGTCTCGGGTCGCAGCTCGAAAAACGTGCAGAGTTGATCCTTGAGCTCCTGAAGCGGTTGTCGGCGGTCGACGGTGAACGACCAGCTCATCGTGTCACCTTCGACGGTTTTGGCGCGCAGGAGCGTTGGCTCCTTCGTCTTGACTTGAAGGGTGATCGAATGGGCGCGGGCTACAAAGAGCTCCTTGGCAAGCGACGGCGATGACGCCAGATCGTCGACGGCTTCGACGTAGATGCTGTAGCCATCACGAAACATCAAATTGCCGCAAAGCGTCTGCTGCAGCGTCGTCTCGTCGTTGGTCGGGTTGAGAACTGTCGTCGAAATGGACCAGTAGCCCGACGTGCGCATCGTCAGCAGCCGCATTTGGTTGCGGTCCATCTTGAGCTTGGCGCTGAGCAGCGAGAGCAAGTCGACGAGTCGCGCGTCACCTGGGATCTGCACAAGCTTGGGCGGCTCTGTAAAGTGCTCGGGTATCGCATCCGTTGATGGGACGTACTGACGAATGCGCAGTGTCAATGCCGTCGGGTCATATACCGTCCACGCTTGATTGGTGATCGGTCGGACCTCGAGATACAAGCTGCATACCGAGTCGATCGACAGCTCGACCAGCAAGCAGTGTTCGCGTTCGTTGTACGTCTCCCGCGGCAACGCCATGTACTCAGAGTAGGCCCGCAGCCGAGCACAGTCGATCGAGATATGTAGCTCAAAAAGCGCGACGGCCTCAGCCGTCACGTCGGCGAGCGTAGCGTTCTTCGAGACGTGTATCATTTTGTGACTGTTGTCGTAGAAGATCTTGAGCTCGAGCAAGTTTGCGAGGTCGGCCTTTCTCTTGACCTCTGCGATGCGGCGGGCGTCCCGCGCCATCTCTTCGCGTTGCATCTCGGCGTGCACAAGGTCGACGAGCCAAGAGGGGACCTCGGCAGGACACTGGATCTTGCGAGAGGCGTCGACCTGGCGGTACTGCAGCAGGTAGGCACACGGTGCGCGCGTTGCCTCGTAGTAGCCGGGGTCAGGGGATTGAAGGCCATACGCAGTGCGCAATTGAGCCTCGGAAATGGCCGAGACAGAGACGTCGTTGAAGCAGAGCCAGCGACGGTCGTCGTCCAGTGACTGGATGTACGCGACGTAGTGACCGGCGTCCGCAGAGCCCGAGTGCACGAGCACCGAGACGATCTCGTAGACGAAATGGCCTTGGGCCATCATGGTGCTCACGTCAAAGTCCGGGTCCCACGTGTCTTTTGTTTCTGCTTCTTGTGCGGTCGTGGAAGGAATCGTGGGATCGCTGGACGTTGAGGGATGATGCGGGTTCATGTCGAGGTACTTGGGAAACGACACACAGCTCGTAAGCTTCGATGTGCCATGGTCCCACGCAAAGCGCTTGAGTTGGAGCGTGATAATAGGGGGGAGTTGCGCCAGCGACAGCTGCTTGATGGCGTTTTGCTTGGTGCCGCAGAGGTCGCAGATCCTTTGGTTGTCCTCGACGAGACGCTCGGGTGCGAGGAAGGTCGCGATGGCCTCTTCGACGCTTGTCGGTGTGGATGGAACACCGAGTGAGAGATCGAGAAAGCTGTCGAGGTGGCTGCTCTCGTGGCCACACGTCACGCATTGCACAGAGTCTTTGAGCGTACCTAGTCATATTGTGTGAGGTAATATGAAATTGAGAGAGATGTTGCGACCTTGGTAGAGGTCTTTAACGAGGCTCTTGTCCGGCACGCCTTGAAGAGAGGCGTCGAGCGCATCCAAGAATACGTGGTACAGCTCGTGCACGTCGTGTTGCTGCAGAGCGTCCGTTGACGTCCAGCCAAAGCTACGCGTGAGCGAGGTCGTATCGATGGCCTTGCGGTCGGCTCGTAGTTGGAGCCGCGCAAAGAGGAGCTGGAGTTCCCTCAAAATTCCGTCTTGGTTCGCTGAGGATGTCGACTGGTACAGCCGCGTGCGCAGCTCGGGCGTCAGGAAGAGCGTTTGGAGCAGGCTGTTGAGGTAGCAGGTCGCGCCGGTGCTGCGCAGGCCGCGGTACCTCGAAGCTGGCGTCATGATCGGCGCTGGCTGCAATGCGCTCATGCCGGCGTCGTCTTGCGACTTTGTCATGACGTGACAAGCGTCGGTGGTCATGGGCTCGGACTTGGTGACTGCGCTGGTTGTTGGCGCGACCACCTGGCAGAACGTGAATGATGGTCGATGTCAATTGCATTCTATTTTTGTGCTAAGCATACAAATATCAAGATGCTATTTACGTGCAGGAGATTGGCAAGAGTGTTGCTCTTTTGTCCGGATAACGTTTGACCACCGTTGCTTGCGAACATTGGATGTTGCGAGCTGCGGCTGGGAGTGGTTCTTGGACAGTACTACTGCAACAATATTGACAGTGTTGCCACTGTATATATACACTGCACAACAGACTTTGACCAAAGAAGCCTCCAACCAGGTCGAGACGAGGGGCGCTATGGCTGGACGCAGCGGCACGAGATCGGTTTAGAGTACTAGTAGACCACACGCAGCTCACGAGTAAGTACCCACACCGTCGACAACTGGGTAGATATTGCAATGACGTGCTTGCGTCTTCCGTGTCATATTACACTATCGCTAACGACGCTCGGTTGGCACAGACCGATTATACAATAATGTAGTACAAAACTGCAGAATCAAAAGTGTGGCCTACGCTATGCACTTGCATGCTAGTCTAGCTCGACACCTTCGTTTTGAGCAAACTCGCAATACG